CAAATAAGCAAATTTATGCCCAAAGATTTAATCTTTTTGTAAAAAATTGAACAATAACACAGAAATTAAAAAAAAATTAAGAATTAGAAAAGGTTAAGGCACCTGGAGAGGATGAGAAGAAGCAGAAGAAAGAAGATGATGTGATAAAGAAGAGTGGGAAAAAGGGTTGAATGTGTAGAGAAAAAAAGGGTGGTGATGAGTTCGGTAAAGCATTGAATGAAAGAGATTGAGGAGAGAGAAAATTGGAATAGTAAATAAATGGATTCACCTAAAATATACCGTATGCAGTACAAATGGCTAAAGATTATAAATATATAATAACTCAATTTGTGCTATATGTTTATCAATAATTTTGTTTTGCTAAAGATTAACTACATAATAAACCCTATTTCTGCTATATGTTTATTAATGATTTTGCAAGAGGCCATGATTATTTTATTTTACAAAATGTCACAGCTTCATAAATTATTATTTTTGTAAAAAAATTGACATTTCAAACTAAATATTTTTTTTGATTATATTGGTCACATACTCACATGATGCCCGGGATTATGGGTATTACATAATGGTATTGTGGAGCGCGTATACATACATAATGTTGTTTCGTAACTGCCCCAGTTTAAATTTTCAAAATTGAACTTTCAGATATTTTAAATATTATTAATGTTATGTCATATTCGTTAGGAAATTGGATGGGCTGTTTTGCACTGGGATTGAAGAGACTGATGTTACTTGCTCTTATTGAATTGACCGGTCTTGTTGCAGAACCAATATTTTGCTACCATATACCCACCAAAGTTATTATTAATTTCTTAAATGTTTCCTCCCTAACTTACATGATATTTCGGCTAGCCTAGTGAATCAACGGCAGAATATACTCTTGAAATTATCTTACAGTGAAAAATAAGTGCAGAGCAAATTAAGGAGTATAAATTTATGCGTAGAAGTGTTCTATGAAAATTGCAATTGAATTGAAAAAATTTTATCAAAAAAAGAAATGAAGAAATTTATATTATTATAATAGAATGATAAAAAATAAAAAATATAACTAATACTTAAAAAACAATAAAACTAATTATTTAAAATAATACACATATTTTATACTCGATTTCTCAAAATGATAATTTTTTTAATGCGTGTGTGCGTGTGTTATTTACAACTCAATAATTTAATTTTGAATTAATTAATTTTTTTCAAGTTTGATTATATTGTAATTATATTTCATATTTATATATTTTTTTTTCCTCATCCAATATTTTTTAAAATATTTTCAACTTTATAATATTCAAATATATAATATGTATGAGGCTGAACTTTATGAAATATAATAATTATTTTTATTATTCTTATTATAATGTTTTTTTAATATCATTATAATGTTCACTCTCTACGTATTCATTATTTAAGTTGAAACATAAACCTTAGAATATTTTTTTATACTAATTTGATGTTCATAGTTAGCTTACATATTTCATTTTCAAGTAAAATAACTATTTATTGAATATTTACTTCATACAATAATTTATAGTTTTATTTGATATTTTAAATTTAGTTCGATACATAAATTTAAAATTTCTTTATAAGGATAATATTGATGTTTTGTATTATATATATATAGTATGGATGTCAAATAGAAGATCGTTAAAAGATAATTAATTTGATATATCATATATGAAAAAAATAATATACAAACAAAAAAATTATAAAACTTTAAAAATAAGAAGAAGAAACATTTATAATAATTGATGTATAAGTTAAATAAGAAAAGGAGATGTAATATATGTTAATGTAGAAAAAGAAACTTAAAATAGTTTATGATAACTAATTGTAGAAGAAAATAAAGAAAAGATCAATCATGAATTTAATATGAATAATAGACATTTAATAAAATTCAATATTAATTACTTTTGTATAAAAAAAATAATTTATATCCAAGTCGGACTCCGAATAATGATTTTTTGCCACATAAGATTTCGAAGCGTGAGAACATGTCACTTAGACTCAATGCATCCGGTGATTATATGTAGGGGTGATGAAGTGCGTATTTGGTCTCATTCTCTCGAATAAATAAACCATGCATGAAGCTCCGTGCAATTTGAATCATTGAAATCAAATTTGAGGCAGAATATAGAAATTTCTTGGAAATCTGTTTTTTAAAAGACCAGCTTTCAATCACGGCCAGCTATATTCAACTGTTTCCCATGTCACTAATTGAAATTAGTTGAAAATATTAGTTTGTGAAGATGATAATTTGTCTACAAAGAAAACAAAAAATGTTGTGTACAAAGAGGTATTTAAAGTGTGATTGGATATGAATATTATTGATTTTTTATTGGTTTTTCGTTAACTATGATTAATTTTAGAAAAAAAATAGTATGGTTAGTTGTTAGTGAGAGTTTAAATTTAATCTAAAATAATACTTAAAATAAAATAATTAAAGTTAATTTGATGTAAAATTAGAGATGATATGAAGTGATGATTAGTTAAAATTATGTGAGTGGATGAATACTGAAAAATAATTGACTAGTACGATACCCGTGTACTACACGGGTTGTTTGAAAAAAAAAATATAAAACATAAAATAATAGAAAAAAACACATGTTGTTGTATAACTGTTTCAACTCTTTAAAATATATTAGAAAGATCATGTAATATTCAATAAATATTTCAATGTACTTGTATAGATATTCTAAAAAAAATTAAATAATTTATTTAAATTTAAATTTGTATAGAAAAAAAATTTAAATAGTTGTTAATGAGAGTTTAAATTTAAACTAAAATAATACTTACAATAAAATAATTAAAGTTAATTTGATGTAAAAGTAGTAGAGAGATGATATGAAGTGATGATTAGTTAAAATTATGTGAGTGGATGAATACTGAAATAAAATTGACTAGTACGATACCCGTGTACTACACGGGTTGTTTGAAAAAAAAATATAAAACATAAAATAATAGAAAAAAACACATGTTGTTGTATAACTATTTCAACTCTTTAAAATATATTAGAAAGATCATGTAATATTCAATAAATATTTCAATGTATTTGTATAGATATTTAAAAAAAATTTAAATAATTTATTTACCATGGTGTTCATCAAAATTTATTTTATTTTTATTTCAACTCTTAAAATATATTAGAAAGATCATATAATATTCTATAACTATTTCAATGTATTTTTATAGATACTTTAAAAAGATTTAAATAATTTATTTACATGGTTGAATTGAAAAGATATAATATATAAGTGGCTATATATTTTTTTGTAAAATTATAGTATTTTTTTTTAATTTAAACTATATAAAAAGTTATTGTTTATATTAATTATATAAATAAAATAATATATAAAGCTAAATTTTTTATTTTGGTTTAAGAACCCTGTAATGTTGCCAAGTAAACTTTACAAGATAAGAATCATATTTATTTTTTATTTTGGTTTACGCGACATATAAGATAAGAACCTTCCTATTTGTTGCTAAGTAAGGTTTATAAGATAAGAATTCTATATTTATTTGGGAGTTGGAGGGATCGAATTAAGCAAAAATCCTATTTATTGCCAAGTCAGGTTTATAAGATAAGAATTGTATATTTATTTGGGAGTTGGAGGGATCGAATTAAGCAAAAATTCTATTTATTAACTATTTTAAGGGTTACCAAGTGAAGTTTATAAGATAAGAATCCTATATTTATTTGAGAGTTGGAGGGATCGAATTAAGTAAAAATCCTATTTATTAACTATTTTAAGGGAGGGATCGGATTAAGCAAAAATCCTATTATTAAGTATTTTATTTTAAACAATTAAGAAATGTATCCGAACTAAAAACCGAAGCATGTAATGTTGCCAAGTAAGTTTCCGAAGCGTGCAGGGCAGCCATTTAGGTTCAGCACGTTTTCAAATTATATTAAGAGGGGATATGAAGTGTAGGAATGATTAATTAGTATTATATAATTATATGGATAAAGTTGAGGATAACGGAGTTGAGTTAAATTTAAGTTTTGATTATTCTTTTATTGGACCAATTTATATCCAATTACATCCTTAATAATAGATAATGTAGTTTTTTATTTCAAATTGATTAATATTTTTTATTCATGAAAAGAATAATAAGATTGTGCAAATAACCTTAAAATTATTCACCCCGTGCATCGAACATGTTCCGTACTAATATTAAAAATAACATTTGACAGAACTAAAAAAACATCAAATACAATTCTTACAATTCTCACATACTAGTTTTATATATATTTACAATACGGACATGCCAAGTCCACTGTGCGAAAGAACCCTTTGTGACCACATTTTAATTCATGGGACTAATTTTGCACAATCACCATGTTTTAACTTTTAATGAATTTTGATTTGTTTATTGAGTATTTTACAAATATCTATATATATTGAAAAAGAGAGGTCAATAAATCATTTGTGGAAACTTTTAAAAAATTGGTCAACAACCCCATTGACTTTCCATTTGTAGAAACTAATTTAAAAATCCTTTCAAAATATATTGTTTTTTTTTTCCTGTTTTTTAGGGATGGATATACCTTTATTGTGATAAGATATATACATGTGATTGCATATTTTGTTGTTGCATCCCAAAAATCATGGTATTTAAAATCTATCCAAATACAATCCATAATTATCTTATCACTTTTGTTAATAAAAAATTGTATAAAAGGATATTCACTACCACCATTACAACTCATCATTCACGAGTTCAGAGAAAAAAAAAATACAAAGAATAATTTTTCATCGCATATACAATATAATGCTTCCAGGCTGGGGTAAACTTGATATATAATGCTTCCAGACTGGGTACGTTAACAAAAGAAACAAACCTTTGTAAGAGCCGTCCGCATTATTGAAACCCATCACGAACGGGAGAGCTATAACGCATTTTCATGATGAACAGGTAATATTTACCCTTTTTATTTCAATTTTATATAATTTAGAAAATTATTTTAATTAATATTTATATCAAACCTTTTTTGCGTCTGAGAGCAGTCCGCATTATTGAAACCATCAGGAACAGGAGAGTTGTAACGCATTTTCATGATGAACAGGTAATATTTACCTTTGTTATTTCAATTTTATATAATTTAGAAAATTATTTTAATTAATATTTATAACAAAGCATTATTGAAACCATCACGAACAGGAGAGTTGTAACGCATTTTCATGATGAACAGGTAATATTTACCTTTGTTATTTCAATTTTATATAATTTAGAAAATTATTTTAATTAATATTTATAACAAACCTTTTTTGCGTCTGA